TGCACAACAATTAATTTGATTTTAACCAAGTAAGTAAATATCTTATATACTAATATCAATCAACAACAAGACCTGTTTTTTTATAGCAAAGGATTAAAAACACTGAGAAAATTACAAGACCTGAAGCCTCATAGAAAGTGAAATTCCCAATATTTTGGCAGCGTTTTTTGTATGTTATGTTGTTAATTCGAAGTTTGAATCGGATTTTATAATAATTAAGCTCTTTCAGTCTTGTTTGAGACTCGTCAACAACAATAAAATTATTGCACAACAATTATCATTTTAACCAAGTAAGTGAATATCTTATATACCTACTAATATCGATACAATTATGAATATTTTAGATATGGATTTGAAATCAATCAACAAGGCCTGTCTTTTTATAACAAAGGATCAAAAACGCTGAGAAAATTATAAGTCCTCGTATAAAGTGAAAGTTCCCAATATTTTCTACGATACAGACCTCAAAATAATTGCAAATCTTTACTGGAACCAATAAACTATACAAATTAAGGTAGATCAACAGATGTCAAGCGAAGTTCGAATTAAAAGGGGTGCCCACAGTGTTGTATTCTTTCTCGTCATTATAAAACTATTGCACAGCAATTATTATTTTACCCAAGTAAGTAAATATCTTATATACTTAGGTAATCGATACAATTGTGGCATATTTTTAGCTATGGATTTGAAATACTCGTTGAATTTGACGACAACGCATAGTGTTTCTCCCAAGACGTACCACCAAAATGATTAGATCATTAAGCAGTTTATTGATGGAAAATATTCGCTTTTTGAAATCGTTGTCTTAAAAAATGTATGTTTTTAATAAAAAAAAAAACGAGGCCCCTTTCCCATCAAACGTTGGTTCCAACCAAGGATAATACACACTACTACTACAGGATAGCCTATCCTCATAAGGCCTGTGTGGAACAAATCCACTCTCTCCCCAACGTTAAATCACCAGTTGTGACGTAAGCAGCATGTTATTTCTCGCCTTGACGTAGGTTGTTTAAACAGCTGATGGCTTAGTTATGGCGTCGTAAATGGTAACACACGAGGTCAATAAGCAATCCTTTAGGTGTGTATCATCCTTGAGTTCGAACACCCTCTACCAGGTACAACATGAAGCTAGCTGCTGGACCCTCATAGTTACGTCTCCACCACAGCATCCTGTTATAAGACACATCGAACTTGACACATGTACGCTAGATGGTGCCACGGACGTGACCCAGGTCGCTATGACGTCATCACAGAACCCGAACTTTGCACTATGTACTCTAAATGGCGCCACGGACGTGACCCAGGTCGCTATGACGTCATCACAGAACCCGAACCATGAATCGAACTTTGCACTATGTACTCTAAATGGCGCCACGGACGTGACCCAGGTCGCTATGACGTCATCACAGAACGCGAACCCTGAATCAAACTTTGCACTATGTACTCTAAATGACTCCACGGACGTGACCCAGGTCGCTATGACGTCATCACAGAACGCGAACCCTGAATCAAACTTTGCACTATGTACTCTAAATGACTCCACGGACGTGACCCAGGTCGCTATGACGTCATCACAGAACCCGAAACGACTCAAAACTCCCGCTATGACGTCATGACGTTTGACAGATGACGTTTGACAGGTGACGTTTGACAGGTGACGTTTGACAGGTGACGTTTGACAGGTGACGTTTGACAGATGACGTTCAACAGCTGACGGTTGACAAAATGGCGGGAAAACATTCCCCCCCACCCCTTTTTCTGGTACCCATAATAAAATCCGGGGGCCCCTTTTTGGGGGCGGAGCCCTGAGGGCCCCCTTTTTGGTAGGGCGGAGCCTTGCGGGAGCAGGTCCCATGGCGCCATCTGTCGACAAGATGGGACCATGGCGGCGCATCCACCTTCGTGTCAACGACGGCGCATCCACCACGTGTCAAGAATGAAAGATTGAGGTTATGGTCGGATTTTTGTGCTAGAACCCCCTTTGATTATCTACTGATCTGTTACCTGCAAACTAGAATATCTCACACCACAAAAATGGAGATCGAAAAACTTGTGGAAACTATAGAGGACTAGGTGTGACTAGTTTTTTGGGAAGGTTGTACGGCCGTATTTTGAAAAGAAGAATTGAAAGGAATTTTCACATATAGAAGAGCAAAATGACTTTCGTGCGGGACGTTCATGCATTGATGGCACTTTTATATTACAACAAATCATAGAGAAAAGGGAGGCTCGAATTCGGTGCCCACACCTAATATTTCTTGACCTCGAGAAGGTCTACGATACAGTGCTCTTGAGAAAACTTATCAAAGTTTTGGCAAAGACTAACCTCAGTAAAGAATACAAAAGATCCATCAGTAACATTTATAAAAACCCGCAGAGTATATTAAGAGTAGGAAATCAAACTTAGGAAAGTTTTAAAATTACAAAAGGATTGCTGGAAGGTTGCTGTTCATCACCTACATTGTTCAAGATATACATTCAGGAGGCCTTGAAGAGCTGGAGAAATAAGTGCTTTTGCATGGGAAAGCATTACTTGTCCACGCTATTCTTTGCAGATGATTAGGTAGTAATAACTAGCTGTGAAGAGAACTTGGATTACATGTATGGAAAACTTATGAACACTGGGGAATGAAAATAAACCAAAGCAAGACAGAATATCTTTAAATAAAGATGATAATGAAGATATCAATAGAAGAAACATTAGAGCGAGATATAAATAGGTAGCAGAATAACATAAGGTAAAAAATGCGTTAACATTCTGAATTCTTTACTCTGGAGTAGTCAGATTTCTGTAAAAACAAAAAAGACAATCTACGGAGCAATTGTAGAGCCGATATTGACGTACGGAGCTGAATGCTGGCAGCTATCGGAACAAAATAAAAGGAAGATAGATGCAGTGAAATTAGACTTTTTCAGACGGGCATGTAGAGTTTCAAGACTGGGGCACATGCAGAACGCTGAAATTCGAAAAAGAACAGGAAGAATAGACACCCGACAGCTCATATGGTATGGGCATGTCATTAGAATGGAGGAGGAGAGATGGCCAAAGAGAGCATTGATGTACGTTCCATAGAACAGGAGGAAGAGAGGAAGACCGGCGCTAACATGGATAGATAACATTTACGAAAATTTGAATGATATAGCGATAGAGGAGGTAGTATTAAGAGACCGTAAATAATGGCGATCCAAATGCGGGATGCGGCAGAAGGCTGTAAGACTCCCGCAACGATGATGATGATTAGAAAACTAATTTGAGTCTGCCAATGTCGTAGGGGTATCCTCAGTTCTAGGTAATGGGTCTTTCTAGTGATATCGTTAACCTTTCTGTAATCAATAACGCAATATCTGGTAGATCTATCTTTCTTTATTGCTAGTAGAATTGATCATGGACTTCAAGACTCTTCAACAACTTCCTCTGCAAGCATATTGTTTACTAATCAATCCACTTCTTGTTGTTTGGTCATGGAAAGTCCTCTAGGTGATTGACGGATCGGATGAGCACTGGCAGTATTGATTTCATGCTTGATGATGTTTGTCTTACCAGTTTCGCCATGTTTACCCTTGTTTTCACAAAGGAATTGTTGAGCTTCATTTAGTTCTGTAGAGGAAAGATGTTTCGAATTGTCTTAGAATATCGCTGGACGATTTATTTCTTTAATGTTCTTCAGCTTCACACTTTGACAGGCTCATAGGTGGCTATGACATCGCCCTTGTTGATTTGAATAGTGTTGTGGCAGATATTTGCTATTCGGACTGGTATATAATTCTTTGTGAGTTTACCAAAGCTTCTCTGATAAAATATTTATTGTAAACTTAGTGTGGTTGTACAAGTCCAATGCAACTTCCAGAATCATTTTCCAACTGTCCACATGTCTGGTGTTGCTTTTTTATTTTCAGAGTTTGTGCAGCATTTACGGGGACGAACTTTTGGACCCTTGAGTTTGGACAGTACAAACTTCAGGATATTGAGCTTGTTATAAAATGCAAAACCATGTTGACTGATCAAGTCCATACCCAAAATAAACTCATCATCTATATCAGCAATAAGCACTATGTGACAGATCTTGATATTTCCTAATCACGGGTCGATTTCTGTGTCCACTGTTATGATGATATTTCTCCCATTAATTTTTCTTTCAATAGTCGAACTCGCCGCAGTCTTTCCTAGCATTTTGATGGATATGATACTGGGTACGTCACTTCGATTATACGTCACTTGCACCAGCCAACATCTGCCCCTCAGAGTTGGCTTATTCTAGTTTACCTGGTTCTTTGAAGGCTCAGAGTCACAAGAAGGAAGCATTTCGGATGTAGCTAGAAAACCATCGAATCGAATATAATGGAATTTCCAGAAAAGGCACACTGTCCGACGTATTCAGGCCTATGATATATCCACTCCTGTTATTTCAACAGCTATGTTATAGCTTAACGTCTATACTTCTCTCTATTTTGACGTATAGAATAAACAGTGACAAGCAACTTAACGTTGCTGTTAAAATAACTGAAAACGATACATCATAGGCCTGATTACCGTTATTACATAAGCATTCCCAGAGTCCCGGCCAGCTTGTCGATGCATTTTGGTAACATTATGCAGTACCAATAAATATTGCCTATAGTTCTAAAACTTCCTGTAAATACATATTGATTTTTACTTTCAATTTTATTGATTTTTCTCTGACAATTATTATCATAAAAAACCTTGCTTCACGACCATATAGACTAGAAAAAATAAATAAATAAAAAATGACAATGAAACATAAAATACCATAAATTAAAAATAAGTTTCCTCATTATAATAGGTGTATACCTATGATTTATTATAATGCCATAAATGTATGTCACAGGCCTATTAAAAATGAGCTCAAAAGAAGCATTTTAATCTAACACACCTTAAAAAATTACAGTCATCATCAAAGTACACTACAAACAATAGTTTTTATTGTTTTGGTCGCTTAAATTTTTCGCTGAAAGGTGAGGCGTGACAAATCTATACTAACCTTTAAAGGATATTTTCTCAATCTTTTGTCCTTTTTCGGTTTCACGTTATCTGATGCGTTTTGGGCCACACACGTACTGATTAACGCCACGACAGTCAAAGCCCTGTAAAAAGATAAAAATTATTGTTTTACATTTGAATATGTCCCATTAATCTTGATTTACACACCTATACAACAAGATTTTTTTTATTGATTTCGAAAAGCAACATATTATCCTACAATTAATTCAAACAAATCTCAAAAGAATGCATGAAACAACTACAATAAAAGCTCGATTAAAATTTGATCTAATAACAAATGAGTTTTGTAAGTTATTTATTAATATCAAGTTAAGGCGTTATTCGATATCGACTAACTGTACATAAAATGATCGATCGTTTTTAGAACCATTATTTAAAAATTTTCAAATAATTAATCTGCATTTCTCGCTTGACGCCTTATTCATTGACGTGACTCTCTTTCTTGTAGATATCTACAATACTATTTCAACTATTATTGAAACATACGCCACTGCATATCTTTAGTTATTCATGAAGCATAGCGATTGATTAACTATAGGCAAAAAGCTCCAACGGAGGAAAATGAAGACTTATGCCAACATAATATTTCCTACACTCAAACGTTTGCAATCAGAAACGGTTTTCCTAATTAATTATACGACCAATATTTCAAAGATAAATATCTTCTAGATATTAATAATGCTGGATCCTCGTTACCTAATGCCTCAACAGGAAATGGGTAGACGAAAGAGTGACACTATTAGAATTGTGACTCCGATTAATAATGTGCCGGAAAACGAGCCCGATGACGAATTGCTAGAAAAATTGGACAGGTTTGACAATTTTTACGACACCACCAAAAGCCTTTTGGTTCTGTTTCAAATCATGGGCGTGATGCCTATCGAGAGGATGAAAGGGAAAACTGTGTTCAGGTATTTGAAATACGTGTTTGATAATTAAGTAAAATTATAACTGGTTTGCCATAAAAGGAACATGCATAATCAATCACAAGTTTATAGGTCGTTGAATTTTAGTATTCGAATATTTGTGCTCTGATTCCAAAGACATACCACTGAAAATTTGCTTTAGGTTTTAGAATCAAGGTGATGCTGATCTGTCAATTCCTTATTTAGAACCTTCGAAGATTTTGGAGAGTCTCATGGAAGACTCACAACTTTAAGATTCCATAGATAACAAATATTTAAAACTGAAGACTGATTTTGCAAGATGTCAGGATATGAACTTGTTAATGTTAATGTTAGCAAAACCAGCATCCTTACATTTAAATGCACGATTCTAGATGTGCCCTTACTGAACATCATCATTGGTCAAAATAGACCAATTGCAAAGTTTCTAGGCTTACATCTTGACACCAAATTAAAGTTTTCAGAACATATATTACAGTTGAATGAAAAACTTGCATCTGCATGTTATGCAGTGAGAATTGTATCAAACAACTTGGATCATTCCATGGCGAAAAATGTATACTGCTCCTTAATAAAATCTAACATCAGGTATTCCCTTTTGGGGCTTAAGTGCTCAATGTCATATCGACTCTGTTTTTGTATTACAAAAACGTTCTCTAAGATACTTGTGTGGAGCGAAACCTCAAGAACATTGCAGACCTCTTTTTATAAGGGCAAAATTGCTGACTTCGTCTTCGGCTTCGTCTGCATTTTTCTATTGGAAACGGTGTCAATGATACACGAAAGGCATAGAATGTCACCTTATTTGTGTAATCAATATGGTCGAAATGAAGGATCTTTAAAATTACCAATACCAAAGAGTACTCTCACTAAACAATCTGTGATATATGAGAGCCTTAAGATGTACAATCACCTACCATTCTCATTTAGGAGTATAGAAAATACTAAGAAATTCAGGCAGAAGCTGAAATTGTTATTGCAGGCTGAAGCATATTATAGTATTGATAAGTACTTTGATGATGATATTACTGAAGTTGGAGTGCTGTAATAATGATCTAGCCTGATGACGTTGTTTTCTTTTTGGTCATTTCTTCATTTTACCTTGTTTTTTATAGTTTCATTGACGTTTTTTATGGTTTAATTTATGTTTTTATGTTGTTTATAATTTTATGACCATTTGATAGTTTCTAAGTTTTTGTTTTATACATGTGTTCTTATTTTTAACTTTTTTTTCTTTTTTTTGTGATTTTATTAACTAACTTTTATTAATTAAGTATTCCTGTGTAGCTTATAGATGTCCACTTTGTAAATGAGAATTATATTCTTCCTACAATAAAGCATATATTGATTGTATGATTGATTGAATGCTCTGCCAATTCAGATAATAGGATAAAAAGCCTCTTCTAAAGAAAGATGCTGAAGAAAGATTTTCTAAAATTTTAAGGTTCTTCAAGATTCTCAAAGTTCACAAATAGCTTTGAAGGCTCTAACTGAAGACAATTTTTTTTTATATTTGAACAGATCCTAGATTTATAACTCTCAGCCTTTGAAGATTTCAAAAATTTCCGAAATTCTAAGGCTCTCGATTTAAAGCCTTCACAGAATCGAAAAGTTCCGAAATTCTCCAACTCTTTCATCTTAAAGTACATGATTGTAGTCTAAATACTTCAAAGACATAACATTGGAGAAAATTCTGGAAGTTCTGACAACTAATTTTTTGAGATATGAGAAAGAAGACTACTGATCTATGAAATCTTTAATCTTACGATTCAGAAGGACTTTGGAATGTTAAAAACTATAAAGAAGATTTTAATGGCTGTAACTCTTAAAAATTTAGAATAAACCCTCTTAAGACTCAGCTGATATAAAACCTGAAGTTTCTTAAAACTGTAGAGCTTTTAAAGATGTTTAGACTTTTGATCAAAATCTTTGAAAACGACTTAAGGCTTCAAAGACCTTGAAAACTTTAAAAAAGCTGAGATCACACGACACGTGACGTTAAGACCTAAAACTCTGCCGATTAGGGATTCATGGAATATTCCGGATATGCCTAGGAATTCAAAACTGACTCTTTATTTAAGAAACCTTAAAAACTAAACACTTATATTTATCTTATCTCAAAGACTTTGAAGTGTTTTAAGGTTCATGACTATAGCATTCTGAGACTCATTTTTCAACATTTTGGGATGAAGACTTAAAATTACGGACTGAAGTTTCTAAGGATTCTAAAGACGCCAAAAAATCTGAAGACCTTGAATTAAAGCCGATCAAGGCACCGTAGATTTAGAAAACTTTGAAGTTTCTTAGGACTTAAGATTCGGAAGAAGATACATTAATCTGAAGAGCTAAGACTTTGAATATTCTAAAAGCTCTGGAGCATGATGTTTCAAGATTTCACAAGACTCTTAATACAACCTATTTAAGACCTATAAGACTGAAGCTCAAAATGATTTCAAGATTCTGAAATTCCTAAAGACTTTCAAAGTTTTGGAGTGCCAAGACAGCAGAATAAAGACTGACAACTAAGTTTTCAAAGTGTTCAACTCTATCGACTATAAGATCTGAAGTGTCTAGGCTTTGAGGGGCTTAAAAATATAAAGACCTTACTTTAAAGCCGTTAAAAATCCAAAGATCTAGAAAAATTCAAAGTGTTTTAAGGCTTGAAATATATCAGATACGATGCTGAAGACAAGACTGGAAACTCTGAGATGTCTTGATTTGAAAATTTAGTATATTTTGCTACAAAGCTTCAGAAATATCTCGTCAAAGTTTCATTCTTCTGCCCTCTGTAGTTTTTGAGTAAATAATTATTAGAATATCAAGACTGGTTAAATTTTATTTCACTGAGAAAGTTCATTTTTTCTAGAAAAGTTGTAACTTTGTTATTTGCAGCTCAATTGCTTTGAAATTTTACTATTTAGATCATTTGACCCAACAACAAATTTTTTATCTCTAAATTGAATAAGAACTTTTATTTCTTGCTCTAAAGCTTCTAGAATAACTCCTCAGAATTTCCTATTTCTGCCGTTCGTAGGTTTTGAGTAAATTATTAGGATATCAATGCTAGTTAAATTTTATTTCACTAAAAAAATGCATTTTTCTAGAGAAGGTGTAACTTTGTTGTTTGCAGGTCCTTGCTTTGAAAATTTAGTATGTTTTACTGCAAGACTTCTATTTTAGTATATTTTGCTTCAAAGCTTCTAAAATAACTCCTCAAAATTCCATATTTCTGCCATTTGTAGGTTTTGAGAAAATTAGTAGGATATCAAGGCTAGTTAAATTTTATTTCAATGAAAAAATTCATTTTTCTAGAAAAGTTGTAACTTTGTTGTTTGCAGCTCAATTTCTTTGAAATTTTAGTATACAGGGTGTCCTAGGGAAAACAGTCCACCCCGATTTAATGGGTTTGGGATGAGAATCTGGGAAAACGCTCGGACACGTCGATGTTTGATTTGAGGGGGAACTATTTTTCAGGTTTTTCCATTCCCGTAGCTTTAACCCCCTAGCTAGGGGGAGAACAACCTCCCAAATTTGAATAGGGAATAGGGGTCGTGTCATACCTCTTATTAAAGGTCTCATCGAGTTCTTTATTGCCCTAGAATTTCATCTTATTATTTTCATCCGTAACGAAATGACAGCTTGTCAAAATCTTGGAAATGGACTATGATTTAGCAGGAGTAAAAGCAGTAATTACTTCCCTTAATAAAAATACGAGTGTCCGAGCGTTTTTCCAGATTCTCATCCCAATTCCAATAAATCGGGGTGGACTGTTTTCCCTGGGACACCCTGTATTATCCGTCAAAGCTTCTAAAATAACTCCTCAAAATTCCATGTTCCTGCCATTGGTAGGTTAGTAGGTTTTGAGGAAATTAGTAGGATATCAAGGCTAGTTAAATTTTATTTCAATAAAAACATCATTTTTCTAGAAAAGTTGTAACTTTGTTGTTTGAACCTCAATTGCTTTGAAATTTTAGTATATTTTGCTCCAAAGCTACTAGAATGACTCCTCGAAATTCCATATTCCTGCCATTGGTAGGTTTTGAGGAAATAATTACAATATCAAGGCTTGTTAAATTTTTTTTTACTAAGTGCGGTGTCACACTATGCGTTTCTAATGCTGCGGCAAGAACGGATGCGTTTTGACCGGAGGAACTCTACATGTCACACTATCCCATCGG